GTGTTTTATCAGTGTTTTATCAATCTTTTATCAGTCTTTTATCAATCTTTTATCAGTCTCTTATCAGAAATGCCACGGCCAGGCCCAGCCCCAGGTGTGAGCTGCCTGTGCTCCTCTGGGTGTTCGGTCCAGAGCAGGTTTAAACCTGAAAAGTTTAAAGAAAAGTTCCAAGAAAAAGAAAAATCACACTCCAGGGAACTCCTCTGCCTCAGCCAGCTAAACAAACTAAAAGCAGAGGAGAGCTCTGTCCCGCTGTCTGTCTGTCCGTCCTCGCACAGCACAGTCCGGGGCAGGAACGTGGAGGAGCGAGCGCCGTGTCTGAAAACAAACTCTGCGCTTCTTCTCTGCCCCGCTCTGATCTCAGAACCAGCCTCAAAGGTGAAAAATATTCTTTAACTCCGGCCTCTGCTCCAGGTCAGCCTCCTCAAGGCGTCGCTTTGCCAGCACCTGGGGGTGGCCAGCAGGACTTGGGGTGCTCCTCTGCCCTCGGCTTTGGAGGATCGCTGTCCCCCCACTCAACAGCGACCCCGTGTCCGGGCTGGAAGGGATGTGCAGCCGTGCCCAGCCCTGTGGCTCCGGACAGCACCGATGGAATTCTGGAGCTCCTGCAAAGCGGAACCCGGAGCCGTTCGGTGTCTCTGCAATCCGAGTGATTTCCGTGTGAATTCCTCCCGGAATCCGACGTGGCTGCCGTGCAGGATTTCACAGGGACTGCTGCTGTCCCTCTGCCTTGGTTCCGTGTCATTCTCAGTGAAGCCACAGGCAAGGCCTGATGTTTCCTCGTTGCGGTTGGAATTTATTCCGTTGTTTCTTCCCGGATCTTCTGCGGTCGGGATGACCCCGAGATTGTTAGAAATTCTCTTTTTTCCCAGCCCGACGGTCGAAGGAGTCGGAATTCCTCGGCTCTGGTTTTCAGGGTTATTTTCTCTTACCTGAAACGTTCTTTTCCTGACCCGCCGAGATCTGTCCGAGGCACGCTGCCCGCCCTTGGGCTGGTGTCCACATTTACACCATGAACTTGTATTTTATATATGTACTTCGCCGAGATCTGTCCGAGGCACGCTGCCCGCCCTTGGGCTGGTGTCCACATTTACACCATGAACTACGTACTTTATTTATCATTATTTTCCAATACCTATCCCCCGTGTTAGACTGCCTACTTCTGCTCTAAACCAACCCAAAAGCGCCACCATCGCACAGAAGATGGAGTCTGGGAAGAAGAAGGAAGAAGGACAAGGCAACGCCCAAATCCTTCCATCTTTCCTCCTAAACCTCATACTAAAAACCCCCAAAAATTCCGCTTTTCACCCTGTGATAAACTCATTACCATTCTATTTTTTGGCTCGTGATTCTCCGTGCGAGGTCGGTGATCTGTCCCGCGGACTCAAACGGAAATCCCGAGTGTCTTTGGCACCCAGAGGGGTGTCCTGGCGTCCGGCGGTTCGTCCTGTTGCACCCCCGCGTTGTCCCCAAGCTGGTTCACCCCTCGGCTTTATTTCATTTATTTCATTTAT